TTCCAACTGTGTAAATGTATATGATAAAGCATTTGCTTATTCACATCAATTGATTCACCACAGCGTTCATATGCCGAGAGGATCCGTGGTGACGCCAGGAAGAAGTGGCTTCAGCAGATAGTGACCGCAGCTGAAACTGGTGGAGCCAGCATGGAACCAGTGTACAGAGCTGTATTCAATGCCCTGTATAAGGTATGCAATGAAATATCGAGATAACGAACAGTATTCAAATATATTCATTTCAAATTTGAAGGGAGAAAAACTTTGTGGGAGTGTTCTTTTATATATAATAGTCACTCTATTATGTATGTACTGCATATAGGGTTATTTTTGCCTTTTTTTTCACCAAATCACACCTGTAAATGATTTAAGCCCATTTTTAAAAGTTGTGTTAAAGGGAGATACCTTTGTTTTAATTTGCTTACCAGTAATTATGAATTCAGCTACTAAAGACAGGCATGAAAATAAAATAAAATGGGGGCAGAATTACCCAGTATTCTGTATTTTCTCTGAATAACATTAATTTTTTTTAAAAATAATTTTTGGAATAATGCTGTAATTCTTCATCTTTTTGAGTGAGGGCATCCGTACCATAAACAATATAAGACATTTGCATTTGTTTCTAGGATGCTGAGGCCCATGGTGGAGGGAAGAGAATCAGTGCTAACATTGCCATGCTGGAGAGAAACACAGCAGATCCAGAGAGAGGCAATGTCTGCTTACGTTACGTGGCAGCCACTATGGAGGACGCTGACTACCTCTTAGGAAAAATATTGTATAAAGACATGAAAGGCATCAGGTATGTACTAGAAATTAACTTACTTTGTTTTGTCAGGATTATGTATAAACTGATGTTAAGTTAGTGAACCTGTACCTGTTATGTTATGTTTCATTTCTCATATGCCATGTTTTACTGTAGTTTTGCTGCTGTGGAGAGTGGTAAACCAATCCATGTCCCCAGAGTGGCAAACCATGGAAATATACAGTTCTGGAACCCCTACAGACTTCCAGAGGTAAAAAAAAAGAATTGTGTAAAGTCATACAAAATCTTATAAATAGCCAAAAATGCTACTCCTTGATTTGAAAAAAATACATGGGACATGGATATTGCATTCTTAGTCATCATAATATTTTTTTCTGACCATTTGTGGAATTTTAACAGGACAGGGAGGGGTCCTTCATTGTGGTGCCATTAAAGGACAAGAGGAAGAGAGTGTTTGGATTGCTTGGAATTGACACCATGAATGACCACCACACCAAAACCATCTTCATCACTCATGAAATCCAGTTCTTCCAGGTATACATATGTAGTCTTTTTTTTTTAAATATATATTTCAAATTGGATTACTGTGAAATCACTTATTATTGTGCAAGTTTAATTTTTCTTTGTTTTCATGGTATAATGAATTCATGTCCTCCACAAAATGTTAAAATTTTTAAACTGGTATTATATTTGTCTACCAACCACTAAATCAAATCCCCACAAATCAATATTTGTTCCTCAAACCATGAAAATTTTATCCCTCGAAAATAAGTGATTTTACAGTATTAATTCCTACGGCTTACTGAAACTTTTCTTTTTAAATACAAATGTACATGTATTTGGAGAAGGTTGGATGATAACTAATAGTATGATTATTGACAAAAGCTAATGGCATATGAGAAAAAGCTTTGGGAAAAGGTTCATTTTAGCACCACTTACATTCTTTGTCATCATAAAATTACTGGGTGTAACTATACCTAAGATAATGTTTTCACTAAGAAATTCTCATTTCAGGATGTGCCTTGTTGATTTCAGATTGATGAGATTTATATCAAACCAGAATAACTCAGTAGATAATATTTTGTCCTTCAAACTTAAGTACGATGATACATATTTTGCAAAAAAAATTAAAATTGTCTTGATTTGATGTTCTCCAGGGAGTGGCCAAATCTTTCAGTATCTCATACCACAACATAGACATGAAGAAAAAACTACTGAGAATCACCGAGAGTGCTGTGTCCTGGATCCATCGTCGAAGTCCCCACGTACAGGAAATTGTGACGTACATGGTGGAACCAGGTACTGACCAAGGTGACTACATTCTCCGCAAGATGATGATCACCGACGAGAAAGGCAATGTGCAGAACCTTCTGAGTCCCCCCAGGCTGGAGAGAAAAGACAATCTGTTTAGGTAAGGTGTTAAGGGTCAAGGTGATGCCATTGTTTAATCTTTGGATATGCAGCTAATTTTCTGTGGTTTAACTTCCTTAGAAACTTTTTAAAATTTACATATTCAAATGATTATGCAGCTTATAGTCTACAAAGAGAAAACTAGACAGCAACATTAAGTGTGGTTAATACTTTGCAAAAATCTCAATTTTATGTTTGCTTCATGCATAAGTTCTCTTAACTTGCTTCCCTTTTTAGTGTTATGATATTATAATTTACAAAAAAAATTATTGTAACTTACATGTTACGTTTAGGGATTATTTGTTCAAATGTGTGGACAACTCTGAAACCGTGTCAGCAGATGCTTATGGACAACGGCACCTAGCGTTCCCTCTCCGTGATGACCAGGGGAGAGCAGTGGCAGTGGTAGACATCAGTATAGGAGAGCTAAAGAACCTACCAGAACATGAGAACAGAGAGGTTCAGAGAATGCTGAAACTACTGAACCAGGCTCACAAAGAGATCACCAAGGAGTTCTCAGGAGAAGTGGACAAAACTGTTGTTCTAGGTAATTGCACAATTATCTCCCTTGTTTCTTCAAAATTGTTTTGCTTAAAATAAACCTACAAAATCTTATCAATTTATCTGTAAATCAGAATGTTTCTTTGAAATATGAATGGAAATTTTGTACTTCAGACTTTTGATTACAATGCATGTTCATTTACGGTAATTCAAAACCATGTGTTGATACTTACATTAGTTAGCTGTATAGCGGGTGAAATTACTTTATTGATTTATAATTACAGAGGCAGAAAAGGATGATGACAGTAGGATGGACATCATGTTTGACCGGTTGATGCTGATGGAACTCAGAGAGAATGTCTCCAAGATTGATGCCAAATCCTTTGCTGAATTACGCAGCTACAATGAGCCTCCTAAGATAGTGCAGAACATTGTCAAGGCTGTGGTGGCCATTTTCCACTTGGACCAGGTGGAAAGTGGAGAAGTGGATGATTGGACCAATCTAAGAAATGTAAGTCATTGTATGCTGATTTCTTTTGATCATGATGGAACTGAAAAATACACTAGTTGCCAAAGAGTTTTTCTAACCTCGATCAATATCTTGTGAATCACTTTCTTTATGGAAGAAGCGACTTTTATTTTTTAGACATTTAGATTTGAAAGAGTTAGTTGCAGAAATTAATGATTCTTTTATTTCCTGTTCTATTGAATGTCTTGTTATGGTAAAAGATTTAATTGTAGTATGTCAACAATGAACTGCTACAGAAGATAACAGAGTATGACCCAACAGCAGCCAGCGACCATGCTCTCATCCCACCAGAGAAACTAGAAGTCTTCTTAAAAGGTGCCTTTTACTTATACTGTATACATTTCATCATTTTTAAAACTACTTCATGGACGGGAAATTGTGCATCATCAAATGGCAATAAATATTTTGTATTTCCTTAAATGTCTCAGAACCTTGATATGGTTAACATACTAACCTTTTGAATATCAGAATAGAACATACAATTATTATCATTATATATTTTTATACAGATGTACCGCATGGAGAAGTTGGAAAATTTGGATCCATTCCTGCTCAGAATATGTATAACTGGGTCTTTGTGTGTATTTCTTTGATTGAGCACACAATAAAAATGAGGGAAAACAATGGCGGAAATGTTGCTGCTTCAACTCACCAATCAGATACGATGCGTTAGGATCACATGACCTAGGACGAACAGCATAATTGACATTTAAAACAAAAAACTTTCAATGGAGATTTTTATCAAAGCAAAATAATACCCATACCAAGCAAAGACTGAGTGCTGTTTTGGGATTTGAGGTTTAAATTATGTTTGATACTACATAACATGTCAAAACTAAGTATAGAGATGAATAATTTCTGCTGTATTGACATCTATTTTGATGCTCCATCACCTTCTGTTATATAACACTGCTGTGATAAGAAATTGTAAATGTTTAATTACAATTGATGCTGATGTATTGTTTTTATGCCATTCATTTTCTACAGAGACTGCCAATGCGAAGCTGTGTTAACAACGCATTACAAGCAATTGATAAAGCAAGACTGCTGGTTTTAAACTATATTTTTAGTACTGTACATTGAACTGCAATTTAAAATGCAGAACAAAGTATATTTTCTATACAAACCACAGCTGTTTTGTGTTATTATGTATATATCTTGTTTCAACATTTAAATATGTATTTATTATAAAATTAAACTAAGTTTCACGTTTTGATGTGTTTTTTTCCTTCCTTTTTTACCATCATTTACCACAAGTGGTACACAGACAAGTTGTTGATGTCAGCTATTTGTGCATCCTCGAAATACTGTACAGTGGGAAGATTTCTGCCATCATTTTTTTCTTATTTTTTCCTTTCTTGTTACATTTGGAGCTCTGCCAAAAGGTTGTGTGGAAGGGGGTGGGGGTGGGTGGGGTTGGCGCAGTGATTGGAGCACCTGACTTATCTGCTCTGTCACATTTTCTCCTTTCTTGGTACATTTGGTGCCATGACCACAGTTTGAGAATGTGGTGGTTTGGGTTGTATGGACCAGGGGTTGGCCTGGGTGGCTGGGTGATCGGCCTGCATGGCTCAGTACATGTAATTGGAGCATCTGACTAGTAATGCAGTTTTCTCCTTTCCTGTGACATTAATAATAACATCAATGTGGCATTTCTTTGGTATCTCAATGTTACAGCTCAATTATAATATCACCGATTCCAATCTCTTATGTTTAAAATATAAAATATGAATATTGAAGTCATATCAGCTCAGTGATACAGGTTATGCTGTGAAACAGAATTGAGAGACAGCAAAATATCAGTAGTAGTTTTATTAGATACACAAAAGGGTCATTTTATCAAATTTTCTCTTCACAAAAATCCACGTAAATAAGCCTATACGTTTGTTACAATTTACTGGAAACATGAAAATCTCGTTTGCAATGATTAGTCATCAGTACACAGCTTTGCTACATCCTGTTTAAGAATAAATATTTGAGAAATTATCATAAAAGTGACTGAAGAAAGAAAGAATGTAAGATTCATCTATTGAGAAATTGTAATTCCAGAATAAATGAAAGCCAAGTTGCTTTCAGCAAAGAAAAACTGCTTGCATTAATCCCCCCTAACCCCCACCCTATTTCTAACAATTTTATCTTTTTGATGCATATTTGTACATAAAATCGTTGATTTCTTTTTGTTCTTCAAAGAATGTTTTCCTATCTAATTTGTACTTGTATTTGTCTTTAGATTTGTCAATAACTTTGTATTTCCTAGAAAATTTGGAGCTGAACACTTTTGTCTGTTGTCCTGGGAAGGCGTCTTTCCCAGGCCATAGTGAATTTCCGTCACGATCATACCGAATGTATTCTGTGTTAATGTGAAGGTTTTTGGGTAAGTCTACTTTTGTTAGATCTTCCAAACATGAAGTGTCTTTAATTTCTTTTTTGAAGAATTCCACAGCTTGCTCAATAGTTTTCATATCATGTAAGTCAGTGTTCGGTATACAGTGGTCAAATTCCTTCATCATTCTGGTAAGAACCTGTGAAATAAAAAGAATTTATGATGAACTTATGCTGCACAGTGATCTATTAGTTTTTTTTTATTCTTGGACCAAATTTCATGATAATACATATGTAAAACAAAGAATATTCACATGTGGTACAACTACTGAATGGTCATTTCAAAATTTATCTCCATTCTTGTTTAGAAGCTGAGCAATCTACCCAAAAAATTCACAGACAGACAAAATTATCATACGATTATAAGGCAGGAATATAAAAACTTTGCTGATACCCACTAAACTTAGTAAGAATTATTACAATCATCTGCTTACCATAAATTTCTTTCTCCTGTCTTGGTCTAAATCTATATCTTGTATGTCCACCTCCTTTCCATATACTCCCTTTACAATACGAAGCACTATATTTTCCACATTCTCTGGAGGCATGTAAGCACAATGGGTCTGAATGGATCTGCATTTGGAAGAACATTTATCTTGAATGAAATACTATATAAAACATTCATATACATTATCCTCATCCTTTAATTACAAGTTATACTGGTAGGATATAAATTTAAAAAATCCTTGAAAGGGTTCGCAAGAATCTAAAAGGACAGATTATGTCTACTGAACATAAATTAAAGTCTAAAAGGTATTAAAATTAGTTTTTCATCACTTATAAACTTAAATTAAACATTTTCAAATTACTGTGCTTGGTTAAACTAAAATCCCAAAGAACTCTTCTATGAATCTTACGTTCTTTTCTTCAGATTATTCCTTGTATAATCATCAAACTGCACAACAGGCTGTGGTTCAAAGTCTCGTGGAACTACATCCTCTTCAATTCTCCTCCTCAAGAAATTAAACCAGATTCTTTTGTTACAACTTGGTACATATCCTGGCTAAAAAAAAAAAAATAATAAAATTGTTTTAGTCTTTTACTGACATTAGGGGCTTTTTAAATTCACTGCCCATATTTTATCTTATCTCTGCTTCATGCTTATGACTATTGGTAGGAAAATATAGAGTTGTCATAAAGAGACTGATACCCCTCCTCCTCCTTGGTTCACAGTCAAAACATGCATCTCATGAAATGCCAACAGATGTAAGTGTTATTTGTTTAAGTTTGATTTGTATATATTTTGTTGTAAAAAGAACCATATTGGTTTTGTTTGTTTGTTTGTTTTGTTGTTTAACGTCCCTCTTGACAATTTTCCACTCATATGGAGATGCCACCACTTGCTAGTGGAGGGCTGCAAATTTATACCTATAATTGGCAATCAGGGCCATTGAGCAGTGAGGGATCTTTTTCATGCCAGCACCTACTGTGACACGGGGACCTTGGTTTAGACAATCTCATCCGAAGAATCGGTCTCCACGTCCTGCAGTGGGATTCGAACCCACAATGTAAGGATCAACTCCTTACTCGACGACTCTATAGCAAACGGTCTAACCACTGCGCCACGTTGGAACCATATTGGTATCTACAACGTAAACCTTACAGATACAGATACCACTTTGAGATAACCCTTAAGGTTATCCATAAAGTCACTGAGCTTAATCTTGCATCTTCAGACATATACATGGACGGACATGATAATTCCAGTATAACCCCCTCTCCACCTTTTTATTTGGGAGGGGGCATAAGAATATTACTAACCCCCAAAATCTGTAGCAAGACTTATTCTCTATTGAGAAGTTGATGGCTCGTTTTAATACTTCCCCTCAACTTCTCCACGAAAGACCTAATAAAAGCAGTTCAGAAATTGACTAAATGAAGAACCAAACCGGGTCTCACTTCGAACGATGTTTAAGGATTGATTCATTATAATAGACATATTTTGGATGCACAGATGTTGTTTTACAATGGAAATGCGATTAAAAATACCGATTCTGCTGACTTAAAAAACATTTATCACGGTAGAACACTTACTTGCAATATCTTTGTCGCCGGATTCATTTATTCATTCAAAACTGTGTTTGAACCTCTAAAAAAGTCTAAAACTATTCCTCCGGATAACTATTTAACACTGGAACATTGAAGCCAAATTATCCGGAAATTTTTTTTTTAGACCTTTTTAGAGGTCAACCAGGTTCAAACCCAGTTTTGAATGAATAAACGAATCTGGTGACACAGATATCGCAAGTAAGTGTTCTACCGTGATACGGTATTTTTAATCGCATTTCCATTGCAAAACAACATCTGTGCATCCAAAATATGTCTATTATAATGAATCAATCCTAAAACATCGATCGAAGTGAGACCTGGTTTGGTTCTTCATTTAGTCAATTTCTGAACTGCTTTTATTAGGTCTTTCGTAGAGAAGTTGAGGGGAATATTAAAACGAGCCATCAACTTCTCAATAGAGAATATAGCAAGACTAAGATCTGTTGGTTTGAACAGTCCGAAATGAAAAGAAGCTTGTCTTGAGTGACAATGATTTTAAAGCACTCCATGACTTTAAAAAGTGATGGAAGTGTATATACTTACATATGCTGCTTTGCCAACTACTGAAAATAGTTGTGTGGAAAGTGCCGTCCTTGCCAAACTCATTTTTTATGGATATGGTCAGCGTCAATATCCTGAATTTATCTTGACGATGTTTAGTCTAATCTTTAAACGCAGTAGTGATCACGAATGCGGAAAATATAAAACCCAAGCTAAATCCGGAGAAAAGACAGGTTGAAAATCGTATCGATGGTAAACAGCCTGTGACTGTGACAATGTTTTAAGGACGGGGGACTGTTAATATCGGACATTGATCTTGGAATCATGACACTTTATATTTCATGTGACTCACTAAGTTAATTTCCCATAAATGTACGTTTGAACAATCTTTAGTGCATGATATAGTGCATGATATCAATCTTTACTTTCAATTTTTATTTTATTTCGATTGCCTAAAGCTACATAATTATTATTATAAAAGTTTTATAATGGTAATTAAATCAACTGTGTATGCCTCTCAACAAAAACATCTATATATATCATATACGGTGAAACCTAGTTATCTCGAACTCGATGGGACCAAGAAAATACTTCGAGATATCTGAGTATTCGTGACATCCAGGGTAAAATGCTTTAGGAATGAGTGGTTGGGACTTCCAGATAACTTGGACATATCCATGGTATCCGAGATCTCAGTGTTGGAGATACCAAAGTTCAATTGTATATCAATTTGTTGCTTGTTGGAGAAGATGAAGATTTATTCTGCAATTAATTAGTAACTTGTATTTACCTTAGAGAAGTGGACACAGGCATAGAAACTGAAGAAATATTCAACAGGTCATCAAACGAACCAGAAGTATGCCAGATCCAGTTTGCAGAACAAATAGGGGATGGAAATAGATGATAATGTCAATAATTACAGTGCAACTAGGACAGTGCGGAAACCAAATTGGTGGTCAACTGTTCCATACATTTATGGATGATGTCCATTCTAAACCACTAGCTACACAGGTCAGTTATTAGAGGACATGGGACTAATTGATTAAAAAAAGAGCATGTCTGTCAGTATGTGTTAATTAGATAGAATGTTCTATTGTTTAAATGATAAATGTCCTACGTTCCTGCCCCGGGACACAGATTATTTTAACTAGTACATGTAGTATGTGATGATTTGCAGGATATAACCCGGAACATGCAGCCTCCATCTGTAAACAATAATGGTAGATCTTGATGCTTTACATTTTGGACAAAATTTGTGGGAATTGGAATTTATATTTATGTGGCAGCCAGACAGGTTTGATCACCAGTGGCCAGATAGCTCATTTGGTAGAGCATCTGACTGGAGATCCAGGGGGCCTGGGTTCGAATCCCTGTCTTAGTTGTCACATTTTTCTTCCTCACCTGTGACATTTAAATCTACTAAATATAAAAGGTATCATTCAGTAATCCGGGAGCTTCATTAATCTGGACTATTTTCTTGGGAACACGGCACATGGGTCAGTGAGGCATGACTGTATACTTGACCTATCCAGGACTCGGATTTCTTTAATGTCACCAACAGATAGAGCAGACTTAAAAGATTAAACTTCTTTGGCAAATTTGGGATAATTAGGCTAATTGTGCCCTTTTAAAAAGAGTTTTTACATCCACTGTTATGGTCTTTTCATGTGAGCAGAAAAGTAATTGTAATAATTATATAATTTGGCATTCCAAAAAAATATTATATGTAGACTTTCATTATCACTTTTAGGTGGCTCCTGACAAAAACGAGGAGTACAAAAATGAGGTTCTGTCCCGATTCTTTTACTGTGGAGAATCAGGGGAGGGAACTCCAAAAGCTCGAGCTGTCATGGTGGACATGGAGCCAAAGGTATACTGTTCATCTTTTAGTTTGTTCCCAATATATTATGAAATAGATAGATAATTTTGTTTTATTTCACTTATTAAACATGTTAAAAGTTTGAGGATAATTGTATCGAAGTGAAATTTCATAAATTAAAGTATATTTTTTCATCGATTATTTTCTTTTATAAGCAGAAAAACTGAAAATTTTTGGAAAGAATATAATTTATCTGTTTTTTTTCCAGACTAGACTTAAAATTACCATATTTAACAAATATTTTCTATGTCAATGTAAATGATTTCAAGGTGATAGCTCAAACATATCAGGATGCCAAACGTTCAGGGAGATGGAGCTACTCAGAGAAACAGAATTACTGCCAGCAGCGAGGGTCAGGAAACAACTGGGCCCATGGCTACTGCATCCACGGACCAGCATGTCAGAGCACAGTTATGGAATTAGTCCGACGTGAAGCAGAAAAATGTGATAATCTTGGAGGATTCTTGTCCCTTATGAGTCTTGCAGGAGGCACAGGATCAGGAGTGGGGGCATATGTGACTCGTTGTTTGAGAGATGAATTTCCACATGCATTTATCATGAACCAAGTGGTGTGGCCATATAAAACTGGAGAAGTCATTGTGCAGAATTATAATGCTCTTTTGACGTTGTCACGGTTGTATCACACTGTGGATGCGATTGTTGTCATGGAAAATGACCATCTCCATAAGATATGTCAGCAACTTTTGAGCATTAAGAAAATTTCATTCAAAGACATTAACAGAGTCATTTGCCATAAATTAGCCACTATGCTGCAACCATGTCCACTTAACAAATTCACAGGGGATATTTGTTCCAATTCTATAGGTGAAATTCTATTTATTTAAAAACAGCTAGAAAGAAGATGGGTGAACAAGGCAAGTGAAATGCCTATAGTGCAACAAACATGAAAGTGAAAAATTAAATCTCAATTATAACAAAATTTTCTTTGATATTTCGTCTAATATTAAAGCATTCTTTATGTAAAATCTCCACAATTTGCAAAAATTGCACAAAGATTGAAATCATTTGCTTAAGAAATTGCATACACACACTAAAGAGGGCAAAAAGGATCATTTTCTCATATTATAACACAATTTTTCGATATGAGTGGGTCTTCGCTCCATTTTTTTGAAAGATTTTCCTCAAACTTTGCGTAAAAATAGACATTTTTTGGTTAACAAAAACATGGAGCAAAGACCCACTTTACCTTAAAAGTACACTTTTATGACGCAACATTTGCATCTTTGCGAGATATACTTGAAGTCCATTTAGTCAAGGGTCATATCACAAACATGATTTAAATGCCAATATATTTCAGGAGCTGCGTAGCGCAGTGGTAAGCGTGTTAGTCTCAAATGAAAATGATACTCCGGATTTTTATTGCTAAGGTTCGAACACCATGAATACTGCATTATTTTTTTAATAACAAAATAATTTTTGCAAAGAAAATTTTCGAAACAAGTTTTGTTTCAGCATAAATTCATCAATTTCAATAATGAGAACTTACTCTAAATGCTAAATTCACAGATTGAATATGTTTTTTTATATATCTGAAGCTATAGGCTTTCTGCATGCTATGTTCACCCATCTCCTTTATGAACAGAAAAAAATTAAGGTTTTTAACAACTGATTATGACTTTATCCTTTGATTCTGAAACATTAATTTTCAGGAATGATTGATTCATTATTGGCTTCCTATTTGATACATTTGCTAAAAAATGAGAACCTACTAGCTAAAGTACATGAATGCCAAGCTTCATTTAGGGTGAACCACAGTAAAAATTCTACATAGTATTAGAGCTGTATATTAATGTAATATTGTATAATTTTCTCAAGTGTTTTACTTTACTTAACTGGGTGGTCAGTGCAGTGATGATTCTGTATAAATAAGTTTTACTGTACCTTAGATTATGCATTACATGTGATTGGTTCTCACATAGATTAGGCTTTCGTGATCTTGTGACACTGTTGACGTATATTTTTTGATAAAGGTGAAATGTTGGAACATCTAGTGCCACATCCAGATTACAAACTCCTGACCATCAAAAACATTCCCCAGATGTCAGCGGCGGCTCAGGAGTTCAGCACGTACCAATGGCATGGTCTGCTGAAGCACCTCCGACAAATGCTGATTTCTGATGCTCCAATGGAAGAGGGTAAGTTATTTTAAAAAAATTGAGTTTTACTTAAAATTTATTCATGTGCTTGCCACTACGTGAATAATTCTATATTCTTGTCTTCTTGTACATTGGAAATTTGATTCAGTATTTTGAACGATAATTTGGCATACCTGGGGTATGTTGAGGTGATATCACAGTTTTAACTATTCAACTATACAAGTTTCAACATCATTACCTTGTATATCTAGATGTTTTTGGTTTTTTTGCTTGGTTTTTGTTTTTTTTTTATTTTGTTTTGTTTTTGGTTAGTCATGCTGATCACAAGATTGTATATAAATGAAGAAATATTGTGACAAGGGGCACAACTCTGGTATACATATAGAAAACATAATTTTCCATTTTTATGAGTTTTACTCATAATTGTGTAAAAAACTCTTATGAAGTCTATTATAGATTTTATAAGAATTCTGCATCAATATTGAATAATTTTTTTTTTTTAGGTATTGATTGGCAAGTCAAAGTTAGTTCCAGAGGATCTCAACACAACACTTCTCTGGCCAATCTTCTGTTACTGAGAGGCAAGGAATCAGTATCTGCAGACACTGGACCATTCTCAGACTCCGCCCTCTATGTTCCATGGATTCCACCAGATGCCACTCTGATGACAGGCGTACAGCCAAGAGCTTTCAATCACTATGAGAAGTCTGCATCTCTGATCTCGAACAGTAAGTCACCGGTGGGAGAGATGGACGCTATGGTGGGTAAAGCCTGGGACATGTTTTCTGCGAGAGCTTACGTGCACCAGTATGCAAAACATGGACTTACTGAGGACGATTTTCTGGATGGGTTTGCCACCTTGGAACAAGTTATATCAAATTACAAACATTTGTGAGATGGACTGAAAGCATAGGATTGTGGGGCCTGAGTTTAGCAAATTGGCTCATTATAGGAATACGTTATTAACTATCTGGGTGTTATTTGAACAGTTTTTCACTTGTTTCCTTTCTTATTTGAAGAGATTGATTCATTACCTTAAAAAAACATGAAGAGCATTTTAAGTTTAATCTTTTTATTAAATCTAATCGGTTAAATTTGCCTTGAAGGCTCATGCAACTAGATACCGGTAATTACAGTTGAACTTTGTTATCTTGGACATCAATATCTCGAATACCATGGATATGTCTAAGTGAGTTGTAAGTCAGAACAGTTTTTAGCTCACCTGAGCCGAAGGCTCAAGTGAGCTTTTCTGACCACAGTTTGTCCAGTGTCCGTCTGTCTGTCCATCTGTTTGTCTGTAAAGTTTTCACATTTTCGACTTCTTCTCAAGAACTGCTATGCCAATTTCAATCAAACTTGCCATAAAGTATTCTTGGGTAAAGGGGATTCAAGTTTGTTCAAATAAAATGCTATGCCTATGTACAAGGGGAGATAATTACAACTTGATGAAAAAATTATAGGCATCCTTGAAAAATCTACCTCTCAAGAACCACTTGGCCAGAGAAGATGAAACTTATAGGAAACATCCTCAGGTAGTGTAGATTCAAATTTGTTTAATCATTGGAAAAATCTTTAAAATTTTCTTCCAAGGAACAGCACAGCCATGATAGATCACATCTATATGAAAGCATCTTCAGGTAGTGTTAATTCAAGTGTGTTCAAATAATGACCCCTGTGGTTAGGGTATGGGCACAATGGGTGATTAAAGTTTTACATAGGAATATATAGAAAAAAATCTTTAAAGATGTTCCTTTTAACAACAGCAAAGCCATAATTAAGCATCCTCAGGAAATGTAGATTCTAATTTGTTAAAATCATGACCCCTGGGGTAAGGTGGGGCCACAATGGGTGATTAAAGTTTTACAGAGGAATAAGAAATTTTTTTTTAAAAAAATCTTTGTCTCAAGAACTGCAAAGCCAGGAATAGTCATATTCATTAGGAAGTACCTTAGGTAGTGTACATTCAAGTTTGTTCAAATCTTGAGGAATAGGGTGAGGCCACAACTGGGGATCAAATTATACATAGGAATATATATAGGAAATATCTTTAAAAATCTTCTCAAGAAGAGCAAAGCCATGATTAGTAATATTAATATAGAAGCATCCCTAGGTAATGTAGATTCAAATTTGTTCAAATCATGACCCCAGGGGTAGGGAGGGGCCACAACAGGGGGCCAAAGTTATAAGGAATGTATAGGAAAAATCATTAAAACTCTTCCTCTCAAGAACAGCTAAGCCATTATTATTTATATTAATACAGAATCATTCTCAGGAGTGTAGATTCAAGTTTCTTCAAATCATGAACCCAGGGGTATGACATTGCCACAATAGAAGATCAAACTTACCGATGTAGAAAAAAATCCTTCAAAAATCTTATAAAGCCATGATTAGTCAAAGAAATATGGAAGCATCCTCAGTTAGTGAAGATTCAAGTTTGTTCAAATAATGACACCCCCTCCTCTTCCCTGCTTTTTTGGGGGGTTGGTTGGTTTAGGTTTGGTGGACTACTTATATATTTAAACTTTCAATACTGAACTTATTTCTGTTTTTTTCCTAGCCATAATGTTCAGGTGAGCAATGTGGTCCATTGGCTCTTGTTTATGTATTTTAACCTCAATATCTCAAACCCTCAGATATCTTCAATGAAGTTCTCTCTTGGTCCAGTTCCAGATTAAAATATTGGTATCTATTATCAGTACCAAAAAAAGAAGGCTCAAATTTTGATTGATGATAAATAGAAATTACTCTGTGAAATAAGTAAACTGCATGCCTAGGTCTAGTGAAACTTGCCTATGTTAAACATGCTCATTAGCACCTGAGACATATGTTTTTGCTTATATGTGCCATTTCCACTAGCAACTGACACATGAAGGCTGAGGGCAAGCAATGCTTGCCTATATGAGCTATGTGCACTAACTCCTGATACTTGAGGGCAGGGGACAAGGAATGCTTGCCTATATGAGCTATGTCCACTAGCACCTGATACATGAGGGCTGGCAGCTAGGAATGCTTGCCTATATGAGCTTTGTCCACTAGCACCTGATACATGAAGGCTGAGGGCAAGGAATACTTGCCTATATGAAGTTTGTCTACTAGCACCTAATACATGAAGGTTAAGAGCACTTAGCTTGCTTACATGAGCTTTGTCCACTAGCACCTGATACATGATGATAAGGGCAAGACATGTTGGCCTTTATGAGCTACGTCTTCTTGCACCTGTACCAAGAAGCAGAGTTATCCTGAGTAGAAATTCTGCTACCCTGATAGGATAAGAAATGTTTGCCCATAACAGGAGTATGGATTAACTTTGAAATAGGTATTTTAATATTTTACAGATCCAACAACAATTACACTTAAAATAACTTTTACAGAGCTTAGTATATTACAATTTATATATTTATTCTGTGACATTTTCCTAAAACCTCTCATCTCTCCATTAGAAATTTTGAAATTGGTGTAAATTATAATGTTCACAAGTTTCAGTCTTAATTTTTATTCAAATTTTAGTTTCTGCACAGCAGTAAAGTTAAAATGGAACACAAATGTTGCATTTAAAAAAATGCAGGTACACTGGTGTTGATAAATGTTTGAACAAGTTTTATGTCACAGATAAAAAAGAAAATTAAGTTCATTGCCCAATTCAGCAGTTAATGATGCCCCTGTATTGGAAATATAAATGCTTGATTTAGGTATTTTAATAACAAAATTGAGGTGATAAAAATTTATCATTTAGACTGGTTTGATTGCCATCTAAGGAGTGGAACAGAAATATGAGAAAAGCCTGGTAATAAAGGGCCATAAAAGTATGCGGAAGTCAATAAAACGAAATATCACCATTTCTATTAAATGCCAACATTATGCAAAGTAATGTTTGATATGAGACCATATAATATTGTGATGGCTTCTTGTTTGGGTATCAATAGCAACTAATCCACAGTTGTGTAGATTTGTTTCATAGCAGTCTATTGCTTGATCAGAATTTCCTTCATAAAGTCGCAAAGGTTTGAGAGTTTTCTGCCGAATCTGAGCCGGCAACATTCCATATATATACATGTCATCTGACCAGTAGGGGGTCATATGTGGGGCGGCATGGTAAAGGGAGATAAGCATATCTCGAGTCATTATCACAGCTTTCCCAACACAGTGGATAATGGTGGGAGTCAGTTTCATCCTTTTTAGTTTTTCATAATCCATGAATTTTATCCTCTCTTTGATGAATTTACACATTAATAAATTTTTGGTACAGGAATATTTGGGTTTGTATTCTCGTAATATTTCGAACATGTTTAGAAGCACAGTGTCCTGGATGCGGATGATCATTTTGGCCTTGAGGCAATATTCGGCTGTCCATCTCAAGGCCATCAGAGCTTTTTGTGGGAGATTGTTCGGTGCCTCTGAGAACCTTCCCTGTAAAATATCACCATACTGTGCTGCCTCTTTTTCAATGGCTTTTTGAATTTTTTTAGAGGTTGAATGGCCTACAATGAAGAGAATCTTGAAATTTCCAAATTTTTGATACTGAGGTAAATTCACATTTCCCCACGTAGCACGAATGACTTTTCTTCGAAGAAAGTGATTAGGTTCTGTGTTGATTAGAATAAGAAAATCCAGTGAGTGTTCTTCAAAACACAATCCAGGGTTTTGAATACTGAAGGGGTTTTGTGCCCTCAAAGAATATGAGTGGTTTCGGTTCTTTGGGTTGTTATGGAGATAAAAATGATTGACATATATATTATCCTCACTATCATTGCACACAGACCTTGGAAACTCAAATTCTTCAGAGAATTCATTTTGATTTCCTTTGGAACTTGACAAACTCCACACAAAAATCACACCAACGAGCAGTCCAAGTAATTTCCATCGGAAATTTGTAAATCTCATTTTTCTTTCACCGATTCAACACTTTGGTGGTGGCTGTGTCATCAAAAATATTTACCTCTGTAGATTATTTTCAGAATTTCTTGATTGTTGGTCTTTTCCATCTTGACTTGTGATAGTAAGGCCATATTTTATACCTTCTCTGTGATCCACTTCAAACCCCTAGAAATAGAAATTTTCAAGCATTCATTAGTTTATAAGGTTTATCTGTGCCTGTAAATGACTCCTGACCACGACCATGTTAGAACAACCAGGACATTTAAACACAGCCTCCAACAATAGTACTTTGTTTCAATAGTGTCAGACAACAGTGAAGTTCATAACAATGGATTTTCGTGGGAAGACAGTTCAAATTTCATTTTTAAAAACATCCTGACATCTCCTGACATTAATTTCAGATTTTACCTGGCCGTAAAAACATCTGTTTACAAAATCTTAAGGTTGTAAAAGAAAATAAAAATATCAATATTTCACTGGTAATTCTATTGATCAAATAAAGGCCAGCTGTGAGCCAGGTCTTTAAGTGTTAATTCTTATGAACTGCAGGATAATTACAATATGCTAATGCTCACAGCGCTGCTAGGCAGAAAAAACGTGTTAATTTTCACAGTGTGGGTCAGTACAGTTGATTTTTGCCAGGTACATGCAACGCATGCATTAAATTTTGTCCACAGGTGATAAAAAGTGACAAATTACAGAACAAATCGTAAATACAGGCATGTCTGGCCAATAAAGAGACACTTTGTCACAGGTTAATCTTTTTTCCCCTTACAGCCCTGAAGACTCATACACAATAAAACAGTACATTATATTCTACATAAATGCACTGTAAATTGGAGAAAAAAAATTAAGTTGCGAGGAAAAAAAAAAGATTTACATATTAATTAATGTTGGTGTACTGTACAATTTTAGATAACTGTTTATGTCAGGCATTTACATTAATTTTCTTAAATAAATTTCTTTGGATAAGAAACTTTAAATTAAGAATTAACAAACCATACTGTGATTAAAGCTTAAAGCATATTCAAATGCATTTATATGTTTGCATTACTAATTACATGAGCTAATTGCCAAAGTGCCAAAAAATATTTAAAAGTACACTGTATGTACTTAAAATTTTCTACATCTTTACATGTACATTGTGCATGCAAATTTAAATTCATATATTTTATCTTTTTTGGTCCAAGAAAGCAGAAAATTATTAAAGCAAGAAATCAATGTAAAATTTTACCCTGGGATAACTCCATTCAGCTTTACTGCAGCATGGTTATAGATGGCCAGTCTTTGAACAATGGTAAACTTTCAACATCCCTCAGACACTGTATATTAATTATATTGATAAAACGTACATGCCAGGGTATACAAATAAATCTTGATCATTAAACCCTACATTACATACATAATCATGCTAATTCCACTTGACACTGGTCACTGAGTAACAACAGTGAAATGCTTGTCCTTTTAACTCACAGGTATTTTAACAATTCTATCGGACTTATCGCGGCATGATGACAATCAAATGGTCAGTTATTTCATCTGTCAATCATTACAAGTGTCAGGGACACTTGGTTAAACACATCTTCACGAAATGTTCCTGACAATCAATAAATGTGGTTCAACGCAGGGTCTTAAAAAAAGTGCCATTATGAATATATATTTGTACTAAACCTGACTAGGAATATAAAAATTATCCCTGTATTCATGTCCATTATTTGGCACTATGCAGAGAGAAGGAAAATGGCTCCGTTTACCACAAGCATGGTGGATAATATATTATTCCATCAAAAAATCTGCTGCTTCTCTGTTGTATTGTAAGATTATGTAATTTGAGTGCAGTGCTTTATTGAAACCTTTAAATGGGTTAACCAAAATTTAATAATTTCCATAAACATGTTTAAAAAACTGTGATATCAACTATTCCTGGTATTAGCAGTCTCAGAGAGGGAGTCATTTTATTGGAGACATTTCTAAATAAATAATATAGAAGACAGAATTGTGTGAGTCATCCAAATAAAAATTCTATGCAAAACAGACACAATATTTTCCACTTCTAGAATGATTTATTTTGTGTACATATGTGATTGAGCAATGAAAATTCTTCAATCTACAAAATAATATATCTGAATTTTTTGACTTGGTTTGCTGGAGTCACCACAGTCGTTATCGCAAAAGAAGATATGTGGATGATAAAGTACTTCATCAATTCAAATCCTGTCAAAAGTTTAAATATGTGAACTTACGACGTGTATGTTACATACACTATACATGTAGTATGCTATACATGTACTTGCGCTGCAGAAAATTAAGTAAATGCCATAGGAAAGGTCAAGGTCATAGAATTTTGAATTGATGATGAAAATGGTCCCAAGACTTAGTGAAATGCAATATGAAAAATTTTTTGATGTTATGTATTTAAGATATGCATTAATTGAAATGCTTCATCAATTTATAAAGATGATCAGAGGTCAGTTATGCTTGGTATATATGAAATTAAAGTAACAGTCACAACTATCTGGCAAAAAATGTAACTTATATGGAATCCTTTAAAGATATTAAAAAAGATCAAGAAAAGAAATGTTATTGAAGTCATGTCACACATAGAAAAACTAAACAAGAGAGATATTTTAAAGTTGGGTGTAGGAATTCTACATGGATTTGGGAAGTTGAACAAAGCATGAGGAAATTTAGGATATAAGGTCAAAAAGACACTGGGAAGGTCTTAGTCAATAAATATCTATACAGTAGAACTTTATGTCTCTAACTACCTGGTAACTCTCACATCTTTCAGTAATTAATGCATAGAAAAGAGTGTATTATACATGTAGGTGGTCTTGAAGTCTACCAGTATGTAATACAAAAGATATTTTTTTTAACAAGATCAGAAAAAATAAATATGTATTTCAGTTTCCGTATTAAGAAATGAGGATAAAATGTTTGTCATGTCTGCATGATCTTGGCTTAGATCTGAAATTCTATGGTAAATTCAATTTTTATGTATTGAGTAAGCAAAACAAGTCTTTATCTAGTTTCATACAAGTTTTATTTCTCCACTGAAAGACAACAAGGGTAAAGTGACTTGGTGATTGTTACATGGTTACATGATGTAATTGATGACAAGAAAATGAATTCTTTTTTTTAGTCATAAATAAGTTGTTTATCAGAAAACAAAATTTTAAAGATCACATAGATACCTGTTATAAAAGCTTGAAGACAAAACTTTTGATACTTAAACAAAATACTGTGATATTGAAATGCACTGGGATGCTTAATTGAAATTAAACATACTTTTCATAGTTGAGTCCCATTTGTAATAAAAAAATAAGTAAAGTGTCTATCTTGAAAACACTTTGTCAGATATCTTGGGGAGGGGGGGGGGGGGACATATTTAAATACCAGTACACATTTATGTATCTATAAATCTCCAATATAACAAAATACAAGCATGATCAGTCAAAACAAATATTGGTCCTTCAAGAAAACAAAAATAGTGCTGACATCATAATCTACATCCAATTACATAACAATTTCATTTTCAACATCAAGACAAACATTTTTGAAATCTTTTAGTACATATCTGTAAACCAGTTCTACTTTTGTTCTTTGCATTATCTCCCTTAATACTTCCTTTGTTTGCAAACTTTTTTTTTCCGGGTGGACGGATATTTTGTTTCAATCAGTTGTTAAAATAATTAATGGCCATATCATATAATATAGTTGCTTAATCCACACAACGAATCTGCTATGTATTTCTAGTAATATATATACATGTATATGTATATATATATATATATATAGTTATATTCTGTACAATTCTCATTAACTTAAGGTCTTGTACACTAAATGCTGATCAACATCATATAATATCACAGACAACACAAACTATAGAGAGGTGAACCTTAATTTCATAGAATGATTAATGTACAACAATGGATTTTCATGGGGTTAAATGTTCATTGATTTGCCCCTCTGTAATTTCCTGTGTCATCAATTTCAACGTTTGCTAGTAAGTAATGTAAGTAGTAAATTTTGTAGCATACAACTTTTGTCACTCATCATGATTCTAATTTCTCTGAAGATTCTCTTCACTAATTAAATGAATTAAAGCCCAAACTATGTACAGAATTCCTCGGTTTAGTCCATGACACTTCACAGTAAATTAAATTGCAATAAAAAGCATTTAGATGTCATGACTGTGCAAAAACTGTTGACACAGTTTTGTGCTGCTGTTCATTTCATAATGTTCTGGCAAGCTCAAACCACACATAAGGAGCTAATCAGGGTCACTAGAAAACATGAAGTCCTAGTGAATCTATTGGTAGCCTGTGCAGTACACTCCAGAAATCGGTGTCGATCCTTTGGTCGGTGCTAATGTCATTTCTCATCAGGATCTCAAGAAAGCTCGAATCCTGTGTTAGAAGTAATGGCATATCTGAGTTTGTCTCTGAGAGTGGATTTCTTCTGATAGTTTGGCAGCTTCAGGAGGTTGAAGCAGGTTGAGGAGGTGGGGAGGCGACCTATGGGGTCTTTCTTCTTGAGGTTGAAAAATCCCTTAAGAACACTCCCTACTGTATCTCCTGTATCCTGGTAAAGAAATTATAATTGTTTCCTATAAAGATAATTACTATAATATACAGAGAAATTTTTAGCCACTGTTTTATTTTTGCCTCTATTGCCCTTGTCACAAGTGTATGATCATGAATTTAAAATGGGGCAAATTCAAATTGGACATCATCTTTATTACACAACTGTGACTGGGTGAATTTAAATCTTAGCAAAGTTGAAATGCAAGTCATCGTCTCAAGCCACAGTCCGGAGTCCACACATACCTCTCTCATACCAGTGACTGCTTGATCACAAAAAGTGCTGTTATCTTGAATATTTACGCCTCTATATTGTGACATCATGTTCAGCCAACAATTGACATCAACAGTATACAAGAAATGTTTTGTATACTGCGATTGGGTATTGAAAGGTCGCATCAAACTTCATTTTCCGACTATTCTTTACTCGCATTGGTCAATATTTTAATAAGTTGTGAAATATTCTCTTCTCATTCAACCATGGCCAGAATGGGAGAGGATCGTACATTTTGGCCGTGGTTTGCGACAATGATTGCAAGTTTGAAAGAGCGAAATAACATGGGCAAAAATAATCCTATATACAGTATGACAAAGTTGTAGCTAATCTGGAAATTACCATAAAAGTTACTATACATGAATTAATATAGCTGTTCAATTTTTGATTTAAAGGTAGACATGATTCAAATTTAATTCACCATAATCTATTCTCAAATGTTTGAATCTGAATGAGAAAGTTTAAGGCATATTCCACAAACACTTTAGATGATACAAATGAAAAGTTCATAATCACATGTACCTGAATTAATAATTAAAAATATCAATGTTCATTCCTCTGGAGAAATGCAAAAGATCACTGAAAATAAATGTGTTTGACTGGAATCATCAGTACATACCTGATCATCGCTGACTTCTACACAGCGAACAGAGAAAGGGGGTTCCAGATGAGCAAAGCCTAGTAATGGAGGCTTAGAGCAACTGGTCACAAACTGAAAAAAAATGTAGATCTCATTCAGTCTAATCTTACTTGAACAAAGCTGTATGATGCAAGTACATGAAAAATATTTCTTTATTGCCTAGTTGTATGATAGGATTCTCCCATGTGAGAAAGCCATGTGAGATATGCCTATCTCACACCTTTGACATAACACTTTACACTTTGGAAAACAATTAGGAAAGAAATTAAGCTCTGTAGATTTTTCCTATTTCTAAAAAAAAGAGACAATTTTTCAGTTTAAATGTACACTTTAGTGTAAAGTGTTTTCAGGTATAATCTTTCTGACTGAGCATGCATCATCATTTCATTCTTGTTTACTATTGTGTTTCAAGCAATCATCAGTCAGCAAGCATTAATAATTCAAAGACCATAAATAGAAGAGAAATAATCCATCATCAGGGAACGTAAACTCAGATACTTGACAAGCCTGGTCCTTACACAAAAATATCCACCCCTCTGGTGAGATTTCCTTATTCCAAATGGATACTCATGATAGATTCTTATATCAAACAGATAGACCTGTCAGGATCTCTTTCTCATAAGCACAATATGTATGCATTAACATTGCTTTAGGTCTTTTTAAAGCTGTTTGATTTGATAAAAATTTTTGACTACAAGTTGTTAACTACCTTGAGAAATAAACCTCTCTCCTGGGGAGTGAAGTTATTTGTGACAATGTCCCACAGCCAGCTGATGACTTTATGGCTGTTGTGATAACCTCCATAGTATCGAGTGTGACGTCTGTAAAGAAATAAAGTCAGAACTGAGAAAATAAACAATCTAATATTCCTTCATTAAATACTAGTATATATAATAAGCATCTATAGATATAAATTGAACAGTATGTATACATGGTTAAATTCACTTATCATGTACCTAAGATCTTGAATATCCAGGTCAGCATTGTCCCCAGATATTAGTTTCTGGAATTCTGGAGCTGAAAACATCAGAAGCAAATCAGGATTGATGACAGTCTGAAATCCTCTCCGAAATGCTGCTGTTTGCTCCTTAATTTGGCGATACATCCGGAAATGGGCCATCAGGTGAACATACAGAATCCTGAATAAAACAAAGCAATCCCTTAACACCATCATGTATTAAAAAAAAATCAAAATAATTAATTTTTCTTGGGATCTGTTTATGGCCTCTCCTGACATGGAACATAACCATGTTTTAAAAGAACAAGGGCAAATGAGTGGAGAAATGCCCATAGTTGGAGAAAACTTTAAACATAATCTAAATTTTCTTTAATACATCAGTGTACATCAGTGCATACTTGCTGTAAAATCAAAAAAAAATTCCACTATCTCATAAATATTGAAATTATTCATATATAGAATAGCTTGTTATGGGTTGTATGCCTTATTGTATAATGAGTTGGTCTCACTGTCAAAACTGACTGTCAGGATTTTAATTGTTTGGGTTCAATCTCTGCAGTAACTGCTTATGCATTCCTTTTTTCAGCCTTTTTTTTTTATCATAAAATAATTTGTTTATCAAATCACAGGTACAGATATTTCTTTTGCCTTACTTCCCTTGTTCTTTTTTAAAAAATACAATTAAAACAGATATTCTTGCAACAAATAAACATGGCAAAAAGCCTCTCTGACTACCTTCAACATCGTATTTCTAAAATGGAAGAGTAAGAATGTAGAATTTCAAACTCAAGTACTACCCTTACTTATTTTCATTGGTGACTGGCATGGCTTTCCCTCCTGGAATAAGTTCGTGTGTCTCCAGTCTCCCCATACAGTCTTCATCACAGGAGAAGGTCAGGTCAAGGTCACTTACATCTCCTTCATAATGCTAATTTAAAAAAAAAAAACAAAGGTCAGGTCAAGGTCATCGACATCTCCTTCACAATGCTTATTCAGAGAGAACAATGAAGTGTAAACAATTTGCTATCAAGTGATTATCATATTAGAACATCATTACCACTGAAGTGGGTACCTCATTTGGTTAGCCTGTTTGGGTAAATAAACAGTCAATAATTCCGTTTTATCAAGTATAATACATCTGCCTGTAGGAGATCAGACTTGAACTCACTATCATTGCCATTAACATACTTATACAGGGAAATAAAGTGCTGATAATTTAACTATCTCATATTTATCATAATACTCATTCACCATTATAATTATAATGAGCTTAAATCAATACCTATATTTGTAAACATTAAATAATACAAAGAGGAAGTATGTGAAGCATCACATGATGTATACGGTAGAATTACGTTGTTACAAAATATCAGTAAAAGGGAAATGCCAAGTGTTTTATAAGTCCATGTGCCATGAAATATATCTGTCTAGAAGTGCATTGATAACAAGCTATTGTTGAGGTAAACATTTAACAATAATTTTCATGTTTTCATCGAGAAATGTGCTTTAGGTGAGTAGTTATTAATGATCTATAAGTTACAGTATACTTTTTCCCAAAAGATGCATTATTGTTATTTGATTTTTTTCAAATGTTGTTGAAATGAACACACGGAAACACAAATTTTACTAAATTTTTTATTCAATTTCTAATTCCTCTATTAAGGCTAATTCAAATTTTAAATTCCTACTTATTTTTTAAGTATATCCTTCACCTGAAATTTAACATAAAGTTAACTCATAAAAACACTATCATACCAGGCAATCTAAGAAATTCAAAATATCTGCAATGTGACCTTTTTAAGTAATAATAAACAATCTAATTTCTGCATTTTCAATACTTGTGACTCCATTTAATACTTGTTAAAAATTCTGTGAATATTTTTCTTCCAAAAAGGCTTACCAGTAAAAAAAAATTCCTCAGATTCCTCCAATATATATATATGTAATCTTTGCCTTCTATCTTTTGTGGCCCTATCTTACCCTTCTATGGCCACAAGTTTAATCTACTTGGGGAGACATGATAATAATTTGACAAATTGTGGTCCTGTTATTATCAGAAAAGCTTTCAAAGATTTCCCCAATATGTGTATTTTAATATCAAAACTTAATTGAAGCAACCCTTGTCCAAGGAGCCCTTGTGTGAACAAATTTGAACTCAACCACAAAAAAAAAAAAAAAGGTTATATATGAATCTGACAAGTGAAGCCCTGCTATTTATTTCATGTAAAACATTGAACAGTCATTCTACGATAAATGGACCAATTCAGAGTAAGAAACATGAAAAAAATAATTGTTTCAAATAGTAAAATGAACATCATACTTCTCTAAAGGACATATCAGTGAACTTGAAAACAAAGAATTGTCCACAAATCTGGTATCGTTAACTTTTTACAACAATTTCAAGATACCATTGATTTTAATGTAATGTTACTGAAGTTATTGCTTGATCAAGCCTTATTATTTTTAAAATAAAGCTGAATTTGACCAATTTTTCGTTTCTGATGATCAGTAAAGAACGCTAAAGTATGATTCATGAAGTCTGGCATGAATCCGAATTTAAATCAAATTTTCGGGAAAAATATCGTTACAGAGGTTAATCGTTACGGAAGTTAATTCCCAGCAATAAAAGTTAAAAATTCTCTTCAATAGTTAAAATCAAAGTTTGTTTTAGGATATTAAACAAAAGTATAAAGCATTTCTCTCCCAAAATAATAAAAAATTTTATACCTTTAATGCAAAAACTTTCCTGAATTACCATTATGGAAGTTAAATTTTTAAGAGAGACAACTGTTTTTGTCTAATTCATTTTGTTATGTCGAAAATGTAATCGTCTAAAATAGCTGACTCGCAACTAGAATCGATGATATAAGGTTCCGTGGTCACTTTCAGATAAGTTTCAGTTCTTTTTGAAATCTGCATTCTATGCGTGAAATTTATAATAAAATCGTTACGGAAGTTAATCGAGTTTTAGCGACATGCTTATAAATTCGCATGAAAGGAGATCTATGCATTTCTTTGCGAGAAGTGGTTTGATTTCTTTTTATATAGGATAAAAGACATTTTTTAACATTCATTGCAATCTATTTGGAACGATTTTACGGCTGAAAATTTCATCTTGAAATTTATAAATAAATGAAGCGACATTAAGATTTGCAGTGGAATGTGTTTTTCAACATTACATTATGTTCATATCAAAACTTTAACTGCATATATATCGGTGAATATTTACAAAACCATGTGTGTATGTTAGGTCTTAGAGTTGAAATCGACCTTTAAATTTATAGTTAAGATATCACAATGGTAAATCTGTAAGCGACATAAAAAATTCTTAATTGGTCATATTTTTGTAGCATGACTGTGAAGAAAAAAAAATTCTAGATGTATATTCCTCAGAAAATTTTGCTAGATGAGCCATAATCTGAATTTTAGAATGCTCATTACATGAGCATGCACTGTTCTTCCTTCAACTTTAAGTGAGCCAAAAGTCTTTAAGGGGCCAAATTTTTATAAAAGCCAAAAAATGACAATCATGACTATACAGTAACATTCATAGTGAAGTCCTGGGGACCCTTAGATTTACTTCATCATATGCGTTATTTGTTATATCTGTATAAGGAATTTCATTAAAATAGGTAATTATAGGGAAATTGTACTAGATGTACACGTTTCCCTTCAAGTATGACTGACAAATATTTTCAGGGAACAATAAATAACAAAAACTTACCTAGGTGAACTTAAAAGTTCTTGGATAAATTAAATTTAAAATATAAATACTTATGAAAAATTGTCATTTCATTATTTTAGATTTTGCATTCTTAAAAAAAATTGTAGTAAAAGATGTATATTTTGTCATTTTTAACCTCTAGGGAACTATAAAAATCAAAAAATTGTTAAGAATTTTGCCAGGGATCTCACTATATCTGTGTTAGTACTAAACAAGTTTACTGTAATTATTTGATGCAGTATTCATTCTCACTTAAATCATGTCTTGACCTTGACTGAAGACAAGCAGAAGCTTCAGCCTAAAGAATTAGTCTGGTCTCTAACCATCTCTAAAGCTACAAATGAAAATGTCTCAATGCATCAAAAAGAATTTATTCTTGCTTCATGAGCAGTGTGTCATTGCAATATCTTGAAGGTCAAGATCTTTGTAACTATTGTCTGATCCAAATCAGTGACTGATCGATGAAATGACTTAATATGTTACCAAACACAAGCATTAAATATTTTATGCTGTACAAATTCGACCAATTTCTATTCATTAATTGGGATCAGCATCTTTATAATTACTGTGTTTAGGGAGGAGGTGTCCTATATGTCACCCATAACAAGCTTTATCCAGCTGATTCACATTAATAAGTTTTTAGAAACTAGCTTGATAGGAAAACCTACACTTAGTAATTCTGTACCACTTGAAAAATTTGAGGTCATATGATCATGCAGCTAATTTTAGACTATGACCAGATGGAGGTGGATATCTAAAATGTAATTCTGGAAAATCCATATCAGTTGTACAAAACAGGGAAGGGGGTTACAAACTTAACACCTCCATGTTCAAAACTGATTCGCTTCTTATTATCAAAGGTCTGATAAAGAATAAGTGTAGGATATAGTGTAAATATACATTACATACAAATACCACAGATTAAAGGAGGACCCCAAATTTTATCCTTCTTTATAGATCAGTAAGTACTTCTTTATATTAATTATTTTTCTTGTGTTGCTTTTTTTGGAGAAGTTTTACACACTGCTCAGAAAATTTTAGCTTAAACTAATTTTCTGTTGTTAAGCAAAAAATGCAAGAGAAAATAGTAATATAATTTCAGTAGGATCCGTTAATCTTTCAGACAGTGTCAAATAGGTGATGTGTTGATGGTATTTTCTAACTTACAATTAAATAATATTATAATTATTTTTATGTAAATATAGATACACTTAATGTTCATGTTCATTCTTAACTCATACAAAATATCTGTAAAGTTGTTAACCTGTATTTGATATCAGAACACACTAAACAATTTTATAATATTATGTTTTGACATCTTGTGGGTGAAGTCCACCTGCTACAGTGATGTACATATATAGTCATAAATCAAACTGTACTTGTATTTCCTACCAGAAACAAGTATCATGTAGATACACAGACATGCTACCACAGTACTTGGTACATGTACCTTCATTGCTTATTGCAAAACAAAGGTATCATTCGTATGAATTTGAGGAATAAGTCATGAAATTTACTCCATTTTATTGCAGAAATGGGCACCCCACAGGATCTTCTGAAGTGTGGTATCTGTTGTGTAAACAGGAGTCTGCCAGCATACTGTGTAGACTGTGCAGAAAAACTGTGTGCAGAATGCTGGAAGAACCATCCACAGCAAGTCAAAGATGATCATATGGTCCTCCCCATGGCCGAGTCAAAGTGCCCTGAACATTTCAAATTCTATGCTGTCCACTGTAAGATGTGTGACATTCCAATCTGTAGAGATTGCTTGATTGATTCCCATAACGGACACAAGTATTCAAGTATCAATCAGGCCAAAGATGAGAAAATAAAAGAAGTAATCAAGTATACCAAACATTGGAGAGAGAATATCTGTCCAGTTTATCAGGCTTTGGAAGACCAGGCTAAAGCACAAAGGGGCAGTTATGAATCAGAAATAGTTGCTGTGAAGATGACAATTAATGGACAGAGAGAAATGCTGAAAACAATGGTTGATAATTTGTGCGATGACATGATAGAATCCGTCCAAACAACCCTTGCAGCTCACAGCAATCAAATAAACAGTGAATTGCAAGAAATAGTTACACGAAAGTGGGAAATTGAAGATGAAATCAGAAAGAGTGAGGGAATGTCAGAAAAAGGAATATTGGAAATCAAGGAATTTCTTGACACACTCCCTCATCTGAGGGACTCTCTTGCTACACCTCCAACACTGTCCATGCCAATACCTTCCAGATTTTTTCCTGCTGAAATATCAGAAAGAACTCTAAAACGCATGGTTGGCAGTATTCTGCAAGTCAGTATGCACAGCAGTTTTTCCTGCAAACTTCCAGTATCAAATATCCAAGCCTGTTCAGCCAATGAAGTATGGGTAAGCTTCCATGATGAAAAACTGCTTACCAAATATTCATATAAACAGGAAAAAGGCACAGCAGTGGAGATGGAGAACCTGAACCTGCAGTTCAAACCTGAGTGTTTCCTTCTCTTAAAAAAAGACTGCCTTCTTGCATCAGACAGGTTCAACCATTGCATTTGGAAAATTGAGAACAAAGGAAAGCCACAAACATTCATAAAAACTTCTCCATCAAACCCAAAGGGCATGTGCCTGAACAACAGACAAGAACTTGTCGTCTGCATCTCAGGATTGACTGGTAGTCTAAGAATTTACTTTGGGGACAAGTACCAAAATAGCAGAGATATTGCCAACCATCTTCTCAATGCTCCCAATCGAGTAGCTCAAAATGGTGATGAAAACTACATTGTCCTAGACGACCACCTCCAAACTCACTATGTCACTGCCATAGACACTAAAGGAACACTCCAGTGGAAATTCAAAGGTCTGGAGGAGACTAAACAATTCTTTTTCCCTAGAAGTGTTTGCTGTGATTCTTTGATGAACATTATTCTCTCTGACTTTGGGAACAATTCTGTGTTGCTTCTGGATAAAGATGGCAAATTTCTGATGAATCTTCTTAGTGACAAATATGGCTTACAGAGCCCCAGGGGAGTATGTCTGGACAGAGAGGGAAAACTGTGGGTGGGACAAGGGGATGATGGAAAGGGAGAGTGCCACATTGTTAAATATATTAAATAGTTCTCCAAATGTGATTTTTTTCCAAGTATATTTGTTTTTTTTTATCAAAATATCTCTATTTTTGCTTGTCATATTGAGAACATTGAGAATAAAAATGTTTTTAATTTAAGTGCTCTTTGGGAGCATTTTCTGCTAGAAAACGATTATAAGGATTATAGGTGAAATAGGGTGTAGTCAGGAGAGAATTGAACCTGGAGTTTAGACCCTGCTATATACACAAGTATGTAAACTGAGCACTGATTAAGAAAGTAAGTCACAGTGATTTACTTTTTAGTTACCCCAAGGCCCTAAGATGTATTAACTGAAAAGGTGTGATGATTTTTAGTTAGTTGATATCCAAATATTTAGCTAAAATGCTTTGAAAATTAATAGCCATAAAATTCAGAAAGTAGGTCACTATGAACTACTTTTTCATCATCAGACCCTGAGAACCAAAATGCATTAAATTACAAAGTTCAATGATCTTATGCTACCATGTCCAAGATATGCAAAGAATTTGACAATGAATGATGATAAAATTGATAGAAGGTCACTGTGACCTACTTTTTGGTCAACGTATTCCAACCTAAGATGCATCAACTGACAAGAATTGATGATCCTATGCCTTATAGTGAGGTAAAATGTTGAAGTTTTAACAAATTATTACTTTAGGTCAACTTTGAAGTGACCTTGGGATCATGCCCTTTGCCCCAGGGTCATGCTTTGGAAAGTTTTTAATCTACTTCATATCCTCATTCATCTATACAAGTTGGTGGTAACCTGCCCCATGAGAAGATTTTTTTAGCAACCACTACTTTTGTGTTTATTTCCCTCATTATCTCCTCTTGTTTAAGGGTCACATCCCTATTTTTAGTATAACTGAAAGCCCTTGGGCCAAGGATACTTAATGACAACTTTGAATATTTTTTTATCTGCTTCATATACTCATCCATATACATAAGTTGGTGATAACTTGCCCCATGAGGAGAAGATTATTTTTACCAACCACTACTTCTGTGTTTATTTCCCTCATTATTTCCTCTTGTTTAAGGGTCAGATCCCTATTTTTGTATAACTGAAAGCCCTTGGGCCAAGGATACTTTGTGACAAATTTGATAAAAATTGGTCATGGGGTTCTTGGTATAGGTCCACATTCAAAAAAGTTAACACACATCTAACATCGCACAAATGACCATAGCATTAGCTCATTGAGCCTTTGGTGATTAATGGTGAGGTCAAGGTCACAGGACAAGGTAAGGTCCGAAAATTCTGACACAGTTGAATATCTTTCATCAATTTTTATATTTGTGTGAAGTTTGACATTAATATCAGGAATCATTTCCTTGAAAATAAGTTAAATGTAAAATAAGGAATAGAGAGTCTGAGGTCAAGGTTATAGGGAATGACAAGGTCAGAAATTATGACATACTTCAATAGCTCCCACCAATATGTATCAGTGTATGAGTCTTGATAAAAATATCTTTAATAGTTACTTTGAAATTGAGCTAAATACAAAAAAGTAAAGGTCACAGGGAAGGTCAAGGTCAGAAAATAATGAACACAGTTGGAAAGTTCCCATTTTATGTATCAGTGTATGAGTTTTGATAAAATATCTTGAAAAATAGGGAATAATAAAGTCAAGATCACAGGGAAGGTCAAGGTCAGAAAATTATGCCATAGCTCAGTGTAAGAGTGTCAGTTAATATACCTTGAACTGCTTCTTAGAAACTGAGATAAAAGCAGTGTGATTGATGGACAGATGCAAGGACAGGAGGAAGAAGATAGACATGATAAACACTACTTGTCCAAGTCATATTCATGGAAGGCATAAAATTAAGCATAACTCCTCCCCCTTTGACCCTAGTGTTATGAACTCTTGCAAGTTTGAATCTACACAACATCACCAATTAAGAGAAAATTTCTCAATCAAGTTTGCCCTATGAATGCCATTGTAAACCTTTAAGCCGTAATGAGGATAAATTCACACAAATACGATCATTACAGTTAAGCTGTTCTTCAGAAGAAAAATGTTGAAGAATTTTCATTCAATTCCTTTTGTATATTTATATACAAGCATGAATCCTTAATATTGTGACCCAACCATCAAAACTTAAAACAAACTTGAGTATGTATGGGAATGCTGGCATTTTCTTTTGCTACTTCCACATTTGCTGTTCTGGAGAACAATTTTCAAACAATTATTTATATACTTCTATAAGACTTTGAACCCCCTGTTTTGGTTCCATTTTCTTGCAGGAGAAAATTGAAACTGCACTCTATGACAATGGTTTCATCCAACTTGACTAATTATAGCAGAATATAGGTAGAACAGATTTCTTTCATTAATAATTTCCTCTATATTTCAGAGGTTTTAAAAAACTGAAACCCAACAGTGGTCCATCCTAGCTTCAGAAGATCATGACTTGAACAAATTTATTCTGCAGTATACAGGGATGCCTGCTATTAATATTACTCTTCATAACCAACCTACTGTTCTGCAGAGGGAAATCTTTTTAAACTCTCCTACATATATATAGACATGTATATATATCGCCGTGTAGATTTAGATCTTTTTATGGCCCTATCCCTGCTGAGGGGGTCTTGACTTACTTAAACAAACACACTACATATATATGGGGATGCTTTCACAGTGCAGCCTTACATGTTCTGATGGGAGGAAAATTTCCATTATCCGGTATATCCTACTTATTCCTACAAAACTATGACTAATAAAAATAAGTCTATATTAAATGATAAAGTTATTTACATATGTTTTGTCTTTTCCTACTCTGTGAGTTGGCAGAAAAAAATTTAATGACTCTCTCTCCACTTATTCTTATTTCATACAAACAAATCAGAATCCCCTTAAGCCCAAAGATCAAAAGTGGCCCAGTAGATCTGGATGTTAAAAGTTTACAAAGTCCATTAGACCTTTATTCAGATATATTCTTTTGAGCTAAACATGATTACCTTGGTATAAGAGAGATTCTTTGCTAGCTCTGGATCTAGGGAAGGCAGTTCATCTAGAGGACTGTACATCGTGCTCTGGTGATGCTGAAGGATCTGGGTCAAGAAAAACGGAGCAAAAGGCACGTCCACAACTATACCCTGATAAACAAGGAACAATAATACGTAATAGTGAAAGTCAAATTATCTACAGAAAGTCCCAAGTTTTATGATGTTCTTTTAAATATCTTTCTCACCTCATACACAGCTTTTGCCAGCATTTTCCCCACAAAATCAAACAGGTGAAGATGGTTTTCTTGAATAAAAGAGGTTGATGAAGGAAATAACTTTTGTTCTGTAGTGACCTAAAAGAATATGTTGGTAAATGTATTCATCTAAAATTGTCCTCTATTGAGTAAATGTCTGTGACAAAAGTTTCCCTGATGCAAATGGGAAAAGATCCTATTTTAAAATGAAAATGGATATAAATCTTTAAAAAATTCCATTTAATGCCAAAAAAAAAAAAAACAACAAACAAACAAACAAACAAAAAACAACACATTGACACTAGTACTTTAAACTACCTAACCTAATTAGTAAAATACCTTAAAGAGACTGAGTGAAGGATCAAACACTTTAGATATAGTTTCCTCCAGAAACTCCTTAAAGACGCCATCTTGATCAATCCCTGCTTCATCCAGACCTTGTTCATTGACAAACTTAACACGGATCACTCCCTTCAAGGACTGGGCAGGAATCTGAGCCAATTGTCTATAGCCATCCTTAATATCAGGGGAAAAAAATATTATAGTACATGTATTGACTGTGACTCATCTAATTTGCTATGTTAAAAAGAATTTGCATTGATAATCTAAAGCCAGTGTTTAATCTAAATGAAATAATCTTTTTTTGTGCTTCCACAGGAGTTGGTTTTTATTGTAAAAAAAAAATACCAGAAAAAAAATATTCCACTCTTCTAGTAGAGTGGAATTTTTTTTCCAGTTTCTTTTTTTTTTTTTAGCAATAAATACTTCAGACTCCCCTGGTACTACATGGGAAATACACAATATCTTGATGTAACTACAACAGTCTCTAATTTCTGTGTTTGGTAAATTATTTGCTGTGGTTCACTTGTCTACTATGTTTGTATAAATCCTTGACATGACCCAGTACTGACCTCCACTACCCTATTTCTGTGAACGGTGATGAGTGTGGACTGAGGAGAAATGGCCGCTGATTCTGTCAATCCCAGACTCTCCTTCTCCAATCGTACTCTGTGTCTGAAGGCCTTCACTCTCTACAAGTAATCAGGAATGGGTTAAGTTTTCAAAATTTCTCTAAAAATTAAAGATGGTGCTCAGTTGATTTAAAGCATATTCTGGGAAATACCGTTCTTTGCAACTTTAAACATATTCATATAATAACACCAGCAAATTCTCTTATGAATCTCAATTTGAAATTAGGGCAATACAAATAGAGTATATGCCAATACATAGAAATTCATAAGGTAACAAAATTCATCTGTTTCAATATCATCTAAAAACAAAATAAAAATGACCTGAGTAAGCAAAACTAAAGATTCATCAAGACAATTGTTGAATGTATCAAGAATTTTTAGACCTCCTCATTGCATTACCTCTGCAAATGGAATGATAAAAGGAGTTTTCTTCACCAACACCTCCATAGCTCTGTCTCTGTCTGAATCTTTAAGGAATGCACTAGGTTTGATGTCTCTGCAACCAAATAAAAACAACATTACATATAAGAATAACTCCAGATTGCACTTTCTCCACTAATCAGACTTAGAGCACTGAAGAAAATCTAAAGAGTTTGGTAATATTGATTGAAAGGGCAAACTTTTTTTTTCCAAAAATGCTTTACTGCTACACACAACTAATTGTGCAGCAGTGAAATTTCAAATGAATAGATTTTTTTTGCTAAAAACTCGCATAAAGTTTGAAACAAATTAAAAAAAAAACTTTCATGTCAGATTCACGTGTTTTTTTCCTGCATGAAATTCATTGGGAAAATTTTGGGTAACATTTATTTTGTGCTTTTTATTTCCTGTGAACTGA